TAGCAACACAGGTTCTAAATCACAAACGGTTCACCAAATGCATCACATTGTATAAAGCCAAAAATATTTAGTAATTAAGACTATGAAGTGCAGGAAGGCTAACAGAAATACATGTTTTTTACAATTATATAGCTGACTCTCAGAACATTGTATTGTTGTGTCCCATAAACCATTTCAAATACATTTTTATATATCAAATGTGTGCTCAATCATATTACTGGAAACAATTATGCCACAATGGCACCATTGCTTAGCAGGGCTCTTAGGATTAAGAAAAGCTGAAAACAGTCAGTGTTTTATCTCACTGCAGCACATCTGTCATCTATGAATTAGCAAGAATTAACAAATCATGAGATGTTTTTTTTTCTACATCCTCTTTTTAAGATCTTCTTCTACCAATTCTTAGAATTCTGATTTTCTATTTTAACAAAACGCAAGAAGTATTCTGATCCAACAGAATTGTGACAGTTATGGCTATAAACAGGTGAATTTGTTCACTACCCTCTACGTACCTGTAGAAAGCCCTTATTTTGTATTATCACTGATAATCTGTCGGTCACTCACTGGCAAATACACACACGCATTTTATCCCATAGCTGTGTCATTATACTGTTTCTTTTTTTAGTGTAACTAGAAATGACGTGAATATTTTGTGAAAAATGTCCATATGGTACTACCAAATGGTAAATCCCAAGATTTCTCAAAGCTTTTTTAAAAAAATACAAGTTTGATCTTTTTAAACTTTCTTTTTTTCTTTCATTGCTGTTCTTTAATTCATCACATAATCCTGGTGTTCTCAATTCATAATGTGCTTAGTTGGTAGCACCTCTCACTACTCTATGATATTGTATATCTTAGTTACTTTGAAATACAAATGAAGACTTGCGTACAGAAACGAAAACTCATCATGAGAAAATCTTATTGAGGACACTTCAGTTGCTTACTCACAGGCAGTGCTGTTTATTTTATAAAAACAGTTTTCAACACCATGTTACAGTGAAAAATAAATTTACCATTGTGTACCAAACTCGCATGCACACTTGCATTTCAATTGTGCAAGATCATTAAATGAGGTTCTTTTCTGTCTTAGAACATCAGACAAAAACTGGTTTAAATGAACTGCACAATTAACGAACTGAGTGAAATATTGTCAAATATACAATACAGGGGACAAAATGATAAAGCTGCTTGATCCAGCAATGTCTGGTCTTTGGTTTAATTATGATCCTTTCTAGGCTGCAGACGCAGGAATTAGGCAAAACTGCAGCTGTGCACAGGGATTTAAGCCGATTTAAGATCAATTATAGAAAGAGCTATCTACGGAAGTAACCATGTTTATTAAATCATGATATGCAGAATGTTTCCACAAAAGAAAGCTGAGTAAAGACAAATAATAATAATACATTTCCAGAAATATATTTTTAAATAGGAATTTTCAAAATATAAGTGATGTCCTTCACATTTTATTCCTCATGCCTTTTCTTTTAGCATGAAAAATCATTTAATACTAATTTTTCAATAATTTGATTAAATAAGATTCACCACAGCAAAGTCAAAATTAACCTTAACTGACAAGCTTCATACTGTATGTATCATACACTAAAATCTACTTGTAACAACATGATTAATTATATAGTTTGAAAAAGAATGTGAAACCAGAAAGTCAAATTTGCTGTGTTTGGCAGAGATTGCTGTTGTCATGATTACTGCAGCCCTGTTGTCATGATATGATACAGTTAGTTGGGGAATTCGTAGTCAAAATAGTTGAAATGTTGAAATAGTCAACATTTAAATTGAGTGCCCGAGCAGCTGAATACTCAATTTGATGGTGTCTGCAACCTGACAGACTTATTTATACAAAGTCTACTATCCAGTTCCAACTGAGTAAAGATCCCATGATTTTTTGCAACATGTCTATAACTGGGGTATTGTGGGACTGAGCATTATCAGATGTCAGATTCTGATCCTTCCATTACTGACTTGCAGTACAAAAAGGTTATGCCTATGTAGCACATAGACCTGTGGTCAGATGTGTGTGGTTTCCTCTTCTAGACAAATGCAGTTCTAAAGACTCAAGTTAGACATGAATCTGTGCTTAAATACCAGTCCAAAGCAGGGTTTTTGTTATGTCTTCAGGAAGAAAGTTTCAATCAGGGAGACATGCGCAGGAGTACCATGAGTTTTCTAGGGATCCCCAGGGGAGATAACGTCATCGGACCAATTTAAATTTTCTCCAGAGGTTTTATTCTATTGATGAAACATAAACAAATCCATGTATATCTGTGTTTCATTCTCTGAAATAAAGAATATCATTGAGCTAACTGGGAAAAGAATGATAGAAATGTCTTAATTTAGACAGCCCTTAATCAATCGCAATAAAATGCAAAACATCAGCTGGACCTTAAGTTATTTTTCAACAACCAAAACATCATTGTAGCTTTTGTTTTGAGGAGTTAAGCGGTTCAATTAATTAATGGATTTATTGCAATCCATTGAACCTATAACAAGAAGAAAATGTCTAGACTAGAAAGAAAATTAATGGAAGGATCACATCATAATGGCATTACAAACTGAAGGAAGGCTAAAACAAAAGGAGCAACTTCTAAATAAAAAGGCTTTTAGGATCTACATTATTTGCATAGCAGAATATTATATGCTTGAAAAAATGTTTTATATTTATTATAAAGTCAGTTTGCTGACACAGAAGTGGAGTGGTTAGCATGGCTGTCTTTCAGCATTGAGACCCTAGGTTCAATTCTGGACCTGAGGTGTATGTTCCCCCTGCATTCACATGGGTTTCCTCCAAGTGCTCCAGTTTCCTCACACAGACCAAGGACATACTGATACTGTAGGTGAACTGGCTTCTGGGAAAATTGTACGCATGTCTGTGTGTGCCCTGTGATGGGCTGCTTGTAGAGACAGGCCATGGCACCCCTGTGACCCAGAATTGGATGAAGTGGCTAGGAAATGGATGGATGAGTAAAGATATTTTACTTTTTCATATTAACAAAAATATCAAATACAACCATAGCCTTACATGTATTTAACGTATTACAGTACATTTTGTACATTTTGCAGGAAAAACCTGCAAGTGTGTGCTGAATTTCACTTTGACACCAAGATTAAAGTCTTTACAGTTTCAGGTTCATTTTCTGAATTTGAAAGAAATATTGTGCATAATGTTAGCTTCATGTAGCACCCTTGTTAACTCTTACTGGCTGATGGACGGAATAGGAAGCACTCAATTGTGTTACTGTGATGCTGTAAACAGTTAAAGTGTGATTACACAACTTGGGATTTACTAATACTAAATATAACAACGAGCTTCTCTTACATATCAGGGGATATGTGTGCTGTATCTTCCTTGGTTTGTCATCACAAATACGCTTTTCAACACGAGGTCTTATTTGATAACACAGGTCTTTGATTAATTTATCCCTTCAACAAAGATATATACAGTATATAATTTTGATGTTTTTTTGTTGTTTTAAAACATTCATGATTGATTAAAAATGTAGTGATCTGATAGTGAAATACAATGCAGAAAATGAAATAGCTTCATATTTGCCTCATTTCACAACACTATACTGACTAAAACAGAATTAAAATAAATTATGTTAGCAGCATTCAGTTTCTCTATATTTAAATAAGTTCCTAAGTGAAATAAAAAGAGACTATGGCTACTTTTAACTAAATGGAGTTTACTAAGAAATGGTATCCAGGTGTGTGACAGCTTGAAAAATATGTCTGCATTTGAATAATTGTCACATAAATCAAACAAGAACTAGAAAAAAGAAAAATGATTCTATAACAAGCTAATTTATGATGTTTTATAAATTCACATTTGAGGATGTCTCAAAAATGTCAATGTACTGTAATCCTTGACCCCAGCCAACAGCTTAATGTAAATGAATGACAGCATAAGCACTAACCTTGTGCAACTGGATGCAATCTAATGGTATTATTCACAGGAAAATATTAAATAAAACAGAAAATAGATTCATATCAGTTTAAAATTAAAAATGACACCTAAGAAACAATGTCATGAAATCACACAACATTCATCAGACACCTGAGGCTAAGTAGAATAAGAACATACTCAGAGTCAAACTTTATGTTATGTTTGAATTATGAGTTGCCATCTTACAGTATGCTTGAGAAAATATTAACATTGCATGAATACACGTACAATAGCACAGTTGTGGCATCAACTATACAGGCATTTGAAAAGCAATTCTTTTTTGGAAGTATTTCTAAAAAGTACAGTATACATACTATATTTATATCTTAAGATCATTCAAACACTATCTTTTAATATTTCATTTTGATAGATTTATATTTACTAACTTCAAAGGGAAATGAAAAGCACAGGATTTTTTGGAAAAAAAAGTACATGAAATATTCCAAAATATAATAGAGAATATTATACAAGATGCAGTATGTGGGTATGAAGTAAAGTACTAAACCATATACTAAAAGTGAAAATTAATCAACAGCATTGGTGGTGGTTCAATTCTAGACCTGGGGTGCTGTCTGTGTGGAGTTTGTACAGGTATGTATTTTCTCCAGGTGCTCTGGTTTCGTCCCACACTACAAAGACCTGGCAAGGGAAAATTGTCCCTGGTGTGACTATGTGTACAGTATGTCTGTATTTGTGTCTGTTTGCCATTTTAATACAAAATACCATTTATTTTAGGTTATGTGACAGCACCCAAATGATCAGCAGTGCCTTATGAATTTCCATTTAGGTTCAGTTAATCAGACTACAAAATGTGTTTCATTCCTTTATATTGAAGGGTGGCAGAAATTGTTTTGAAAATAAATTGTTTGTTAAACTTAAATAGCCCCTACCTTGATACCATGAAACAAATGTCAACATTCTCTTGATAAAATGCCTAGTTGTATAATTATTTGAAGGCAGTTTCCCATTATACTTGATTGCTTCATTAGTTTTGAAAAATGAAAGAAAATATCTTAGATGCTCTTGCCATTGAACTTACCTCCATCAGCTTGTTGGCGTGTTCTCTAAAAATAGCTGCATATTCTTTGATTTCCTTTTCTTTTCCCTTTTTAGCTGCTTCAATGAGGACCAGAAGTGGGACAGTTGTGTCCAGAAAGGAGTCGGAGATGTGATCTATGATCGCCTTTCTCAACTGCAAGTCAATATTATTTTACTTTAGTGAAAACAGCTGATCACATGTGCTTCTGAAACAATACTCAATATCCATTAATAAAAAATACTATGTGTTCTGTAATGATGAACAGCATTAATCAGACTTTGCAACCATCATACATATATTTCAGGTGGGTAGCTGTGTCAGAATGCAAAGGCTGCAAAGGAACAAGTAATAGGTTTATTCCATGCTGAAAAGAGAAGAAAGAAAACACAACGTTTTGGCTGAAACTTTGTGTTTTCTTTCATCTCTTTTCATACATATAAGTATGGAATGCTGCCATATGGGGAACAATGAGCAGACTGAAGATAGAGCATAAATCAGCTAGAACATGATGTGAAAAAAATATCTCAAACAAATGGAGAAATGTGAAGGGAAATAAGGATAAAGAGACTTCTAATAAAAAAATCAACATGAAATGCAAGAAAGTCATGAACATGCAGGCTTTCAACAAGTCTAGGGTTTATAATTATGTATGGTAAAAACCTTAAAAACATGCAATCTACTTTAAAAATTAAAAAGAGGCAGTTCAGACAATGATTTGTAAAATATTTCCACTAATTAATGGAGATTTTGTTTACATTGAACCTTTTTTTGTTTCTGCTTAGAATATGTTAAGAAACTAACAAACACAGACCTCAGTAGAAGTTAGAAATACATCAGTGATATTAAAAGAAGATACAGTAAATTAAGGTGATAGTGTTTGCAAG